ACAGACACACAGACAGACAGACACACAGACACACAGAAAGACAGACACACACACAGACAGACAGACACACAGACACACAGAAAGACAGACACACAGACACACAGAAAGACAGACACACAGACACACAGAAAGACAGACACACAGACACACAGACAGACACACAGAAAGACAGACACACAGACAGACAGACACACAGACAGACAGACACACAGACAGACAGACACACAGACAGACAGACACACAGACAGACAGTTCTTCTTCACTGTTTCTATCAAACTGAAAATCTCTAACACAGACTCAGTAACAGCTGACGACAGAGACGACACAGAAACAATAAAGAAATGATGAAGATCTGATTTAAAGAAAATCCAGATATGATAAAGATGTTATGCAGAGATAATAAAGTAACCCAGAAATCAGAGACAAAATTAACTGGATGATAACAACAAACATGATCTAAAGATGATCCAGAAATGACAGAAAAATCATAAATAAATTAAATAACTACATTTATCAAAAACATCTGGATATGATCAGGAAATGATCCAAAAATTACCCAGATGATACAAAACAAAAATAATCCAGAAATGATCGAGAAATTGTAAATAAATTATTTTAACAAGGATCCAGATATGATCAGGAAGCTTTACAGACTTTATGACTGATTATTTTTGAAGCTCTATAAATGAGTCAGATATGATCTGAAGATGATCCAGAGATAAATCACACGTAGATAAATCTGAGATGAATTCAGTCACAGATGTTTATGTTCACCAGCTGACTGCAGAGTGACATCACACAGTTCAGCTGGTGACACCACACACACACACACACACACACCATCTAAACCAGTCTGACAAATATCACAGATCTACATCCTCCACAACAACAACAACAACAACAACAATCTACAGCATCGTGGTAGCCAGAGCTACATCACCATGGTAACCACCCATCCCAGTGCAGCCCAGTTCATCTGCTTCACTTACTTGAAACTGGTTTTAGACTCCGTCTTGTTAACGAGCTGCTCCTGGTTCGACTGAGACGACTTGTCCTGCTGAGAGAAGACGTCTGAGGAGGGCGAGCTGCAACACACACACACACACACACACACACACACACAGACAGAATGTGAGTGAACAGCCAAGAACGCAGACAGAGTAACAACTCTGGTTTCCAAACATTGTTTTCTGCCAGTTCATTCCAGTGCTGTGTGTGTGTGTGTGTGTGTGTGTGTGTGTGTGTGTAAATCTCATACTTCAAACTAATCAGTGTGCAGCTCCCTGAAGGAAAACCCTCCATTCTCTACAGAGGGGTCAAAGGTCACAAACACAGACTGCAGGAAATAATGGACGTAACCATGGTGACATCACCTGTTTGTTTGGGTCGGAACGTTAAATAACAACGTTCTAAACTGGCGACTGGTTTGTGTTGTAACCAGCACAGTCGCCCCATGCTGGACGTTAGGTTGACCCCTCTGACCTTATATGGTCGTCCTGCATCATGTGACCTCAACATCAACATCAGACACCAGAGGAGAAAATCCTGAATATATTTCAGTGGATCAATAAACTCTTTGTTTCTCCTGCACTGAGGAGTGAGGGCAGACTGTCCACATACTTGTGACCACATGGATTCAATAATCTAATAATAATTATCACATTCAAAATGGTCTCAAACGATAACTCGACTTTAAATGTAAATAAATCTGACTTTATGATATTTGCAGGGAAGATAAATTATAATTTGATGGAGACGAAATGTTAAAGTTACATCAACAAGATTTGTTGGAATTTAAATCGAAAGAAAGGTCACATCAGTTTGGTTTAAAACAAGGTCACACAATCTGTGTCCTTTGTTACAACCTGGTTTTTAACATTATATTACAGTTTAATATATCGTCTGAGCGCTGACACCTCACACCTGTCATTAGAAAAGCAACTTCTCTGTTCTTAAACAGTGTCGACCATTTCTGATATCAACATTCTTCAAATATGTATTTTTAAAGTGAGGTTTATGAACACAGACTGAGCACTGAGCTTCAGTGATTGTTTATCTCTCATTCTCTGGTTAACTTTCATCCAATGAGACTAATCAATAACCTTTATCTGCTGATGTACGGCAACCTCAGGAGGACAATATTCACTGAAACACTGTGAACATGAACTATTTAACTGACTCGATGCAAAAGAAACTTAAAGGTGGTTTGATGATACAAAGATCTGGTTCTGTCTGAATCGTCACTGTGTTTCTGCAGAACAACGATTTATCTGATGTCTGTTTCTCCTCAGTCGTTGATCGTGAGGAAGATATGTTCTGTTGTTTTTTAACAACTGAATCAATAAACATCTTTGTTAGTTTGTACATTATTAATATACGTTGACATCATCATCATCTGATCCCTCCTGAGGTCTGATGTCATTACTGTCTGACCCTCTGACCCTGAGCTGTGATGATGTCAGAGGTCCTGTCAGCTGATCTGATGTCAGCGTCTGTGTTACAGACCTGCAGGCGGCTGAAGGCTCCTCAGAGATGGAGCTGGCTTTGGAGAAGAGTCTGGACTTCCTGCTCAGACCCAGAGCGGACATGTGGTGGCTGAGGAAAGAGCGACTCCTAGTGGTCGACAGACGCCACAGACGGGGGGGGGGGGGGTCACAGGCACCACAGCATGAAGACAGACAGAGAGAGACAGAAGGAGGAAAGGAAACACCATCACAGACAGGAAACCAACACCAAGTCACCAAAACAAGAACAGACCCAGAACCAGAACCCAGACATGCAGAGACCCCCCCAGTCAGTCCGTTTCCATGGAAACAGTGAAGTGGAGCTACAGTCCCAGCTGGACGAGGACATCTAACTGGCCTACTGTCCTTGTCCCAGTATACAAGCATGGGAGGGGAATCCATTTATTGGGCGACTCCTCTATGATAGGTGAAGACACGCCCCCTCTCAGCTTGTTAGTATTGGACCGCTGTACGAGAACAAAAGTGTTTCTGAGGTCACAACAACAGATTCCTGCTGAATGTTTGAGTTTAAGAGGTGACATCACTCTGCAGAGGTGAGGCTGAGCCGTTATAGATCCAACAGGAGATCTGATCAGATTCAGATTGAATCCTGACTCTGGACCCTGAGAGGACCCATCAGGCCTCCTGCTGTGTGATGAAGCATCAGTGAGTCCAGACCTGACATGAAGCTCCGCCTCCTGTGTGTGTGTGTTGAACTGTGTCCCTGGATGTGGACGCGCTGCCAGCTGGAGACCAAACATGAGCAGGATCGTTCTTCATGTGTCCTCTGAGGACAAACATTCCTGCTGTCTGAACTCAGAGAAGCTGTGTCCAAATAAAACACGTCCTCTCGTCAGGCTGTCGCTCTGAACATGGGAACGCTCAGAGAGGAGCTGCAGAGGGCGACCGCTCATGCCGTAACACCGCCGCCACATGTTTTATTCTCTCTGAGTCTGAATGAACCAAACCAACAGTGACTTCCTGTCTCTGCCTGCTGATGACATCGCACATTAACAGACTGAGCTTCATGTTAATCTTCTCCTCTGTGTGTTTCACTTGGCCGTCGTTAAACTCATTAAAGCCTCGTCATGGAATATTTTCTACCTCACAGACTTTTATCACTTAGATGTTTCTCTGCAGACGTCCTGATTTATCCTGTTATTAATCTAACACTTCATGGACTTCCATCTGACCCCTCTGACTCCTCAGGTCACAGGATGACACAAACACACACCATCAACACACAGCTACATCCATCCATTCATTCATTCATTCATTCATTCATCCATCCATCTCTCAGTTTGTTACACAACGATCATAAAGTCCTTCTGTTGATCAATAAAAACTGTCTCCATAGTTTTCTTTGATTCATCATTAAAACAAACATATTGTACCACAGTAGCCAGAACTATAACTATAATATTATTACTTTTAATAATGTTGTTGTAAGCTACTGTCATTACCTGCATCTCTCTCTCTCTCTCTCTCTGTCTCTCTGTCTCTCTCTCTCTCTCTCTCTCTCTGTCTCTCTCTCTCTCTGTCTCTCTCTCTCTCTCTCTCTCTCTCTCTCTCTCTCTCTCTCTCTCTCTGTCTCTCTCTCTCTCTCTCTCTCTCTGTCTCTCTCTCTGTCTCATTGTGTCATACGGATTACTGTTAATTTATTATGCTGATCTGTTCTGTACGACATCTATTGCACGTCTGTCCGTCCTGGAAGAGGGATCCCTCCTCAGTTGCTCTTCCTGAGGTTTCNGTAAGCTACTGTCATTACCTGCATCTCTCTCTCTGTCTCATTGTGTCATAAGGATTACTGTTAATTTATAATGCTGATCTGTTCTGTACGACATCTATTGCACGTCTGTCCGTCCTGGAAGAGGGATCCCTCCTCAGTTGCTCTTCCTGAGGTTTCTACCGTTTTTTTTCCCGTTAAAGGGTTTTTTTGGGGAGTTTTTCCTGATCAGCTGTGAGGGTCATAAGGACAGAGGGATGTCGTATGCTGTAAAGCCCTGTGAGGCAAATTGTGATTTGTGATATTGGGCTTTATAAATAAAATTGATTGATTGATTGATTGATGTTCATTTCCAGCTGTTCCTCACAGCCTTCTGTCAGAGTCATGACTTCCTGACTTTATCTATAGGTCACCTCTGCAGCACGGGTTACCATGGCGATAGGGCCTATACTTAGCACTGCAAAGTTTTTAGGCTCTATATCGTGATACACGACATATATCTCAGTCTTTCAAACTCTGATCTGAACTACTGTAACTACTGAAATACTAAACTTATGTATAAGTTAAATAAAATACTGTTACAACTAACTTGGTTTGTGAGCGGCCAATAAACAGACATCAGGACGGCGTCGAGGGTCTGACCTCTGACCGCCCGTCACCACACTCCATCATCAAACTTCCTGTTAAACAGGTGTGACACGGCGCTGAAGGGCCGCCTGCAGTGTGTTAGCACGAGCTAATTAGCAGCAGCGGCTAACATCCAGCTTTTA